TCACAGGGTGGGTGGGGTCCTAAAAACACAGATGGAGTATGTTGTGGCTTTATGTAATGAGAAGGAGAGCTTTTCACAGAGAGCCAGTCCTGTCATGAGTGCAATGAGATAATTAAATCTCCTGTACACCTGTGTAAAAATTCCTTAAATACGGAGCAGATCTGTAGAGACCATGAGTTCTGATTTTGCTGTTCTCTCTGTCACACACACATGACCTAGTTTTCAGAGATAGGATCTTTATCCTGGAACTTGAGATCCTCCTGCCTCAGCCTCCTGAATGCTAGGATTATAGGTATATTGATAAATTAACATTAGGATCACCCAGGCTTTTGGTATTGTATCCAAGAAATAATTGCTAAATGCATGTCATGAATTTTTTTTGTAGGGCTTTTATGATTTTAGCTCTTGTAAGGAGGACTTTAATGTATCACGAGTTAGTTTTTATATATGATCTAAAGATCCAACTTCATTTTTGAGCTGTTTTCTCCAGCATAATTTTTAATATTGCTATAATAATTTATTTACTTAGTTACTTATTTACAGACATTTGTATTATCTTTTTTTTTTTTTTTTTTACTTTGGTTCTTTAAAAAGATGTTTTTGGGGCTGGAGAGATGGCTCAGAGGTTAAGAGCACTTGCCGGTCTTCTGAGGACCAGGGTTCAATCTTAGCACCAGTATGGCAGCTCACAACTGTCTGTAGCTACAGTTTCAGGGGATCTGATGTCCTCTTCTGAGGGCATCTGACCTCTGAGGGCACTCACTACTCATATGGTACACAGACGTATGTGGACAATACACCCATACACATAAAATGAGATAAAAGAAAAATAAAAAAAATCATTAATTGGATACATGGTATTGGGTTAAGTATGTAATGTACTTTAAATATATTGCTCTCAATACTTTCTTTTCTCAATTTTCCTTCTCCCAGTGGTCCCTTTATTTCTTTAAATAGGTTTTAGTGGTTCTTTCTTGAGATTGTCTATTGTCTTTCACAAGTTTATATATATATGTAACCCACTATGCTTAATTAGGGTCATTTGCATGAAGGTGGGAGGTTATTTACTAGATCCAGAACAACTTTCCATCAGCTACATCTCTGAGGAATATGAGTTTCACTCTCGTAACAGCAATTATGTGCAGACAGCTCCCCAGGGAGCTATTATCTAGGAAGGGTATTTCCATTCAAACTATTTTTCTTTTTAAAAAAAATTATTTTAAAATTAGCTCACAAAGTAAGTATTTCCACCTGCCCTGATCATTGAAATAAATGTCAATTTGAATATACACACTTCCAAAATTGAACTAGGTTTCACATATGAGAAAGAACATTAAGCATTTACCCTATGCAGTTTTTATTTCTACTTTCATGTTACACATACAGTGTTTTATGTATCTATATAAAGTCTAGACACCACAAATGGGAGATAACATGATTACCTTTATGTTATGGTATAATATGGTATGATATGAAATGATATGATAATAAGATTAGTCTTAATTTAATCTGATTTCTTCCAGTTGTATCCATGAACCCTTAGACAGGTCACTTATAACTCTAGCCTTTGTCATAGTTGAGGTTTTATTGCTGTGAAGAGACATCACAACCACAGCAACTCTTATAAAGGAAAACATTTAATTGGGGGCTGACTTACAGTTTCAGAGGTTCAGTTCATTATCATCATGGTGGGAAGCATTATGGCATCCAGGCAGACATGGCACTGGAAAAGGAGCTGAGAGTTCTATATCTGGATCTGTAGGCAGCAGGGAGGAAACTGTGTGCCACCTTGAGCATAGGAGACCTCAAAGCCCCACCTCCACGGTGACACACTCCCCCAACAAGGCTACACCTACCCCGACAAGGCCACACCTCCTAATAGTGCCACTCCTTAGGGCCAAGCGTTCAAACATAGAAATCTATGTGGGGGGGGATGGGGGCATTCCTATTTAAACCATCACAGTCTTTTTTTCATGCTTTCATGGAGCCTAGAGACTATTCAGAGGTAAAAATGCAGAATCACTTAATGTCCTTGCCTGAGCATACATCATACAAGGCATTTACATAATGTCCTAATTCTCTAGTATATGTAGGTGTTTGTCAATGTCTTGATTTACTAAGGAAATTATCCTGATTGTCCTTTCAAGTTCTCAAGCAATGAAATACTATGCAGCAATAAAAGGGTGGCCTATGTAATGCCACAGGCGAATCTCACAGACATCATTTATAGTTAGAGAAGTCACATACACGAGGACACACTGTATTTGTATTATTCTGTTCATATGCAACTAAGGAACAGAGAATAAAAATAGTAGTTACGTCTCGGGACTGACAAGTATTGGCTGGGAAGGAACATAAAGAAATCCCTGGGTGCTGGAACTATTTTTAATCCCGGTGGCCACAAAAACACTTGAGCAGACACTGAAACAGTGTACCCTGTCTAGCGCAGCAAGCAAGAGGCATGCCTCTTTAAGTATTCCTTCTAAGGAGGAAGAGGTAATTGACAAAGAACTGGGACTGTGTTGACTGTGGACATACGAGCTGGGAGAACACAGGAAGTCCAGGGATGAGGAGTCAATGGCTCAGCTGAGAACAGTAAAGCATTTGGTTAGGGGAAGGGGGTAAAAGGATTTCGGAGGAAGCAACAGTGTATTGGAACTCCGGGAAGGGAGAGAGTGAGGCGCGAATTAAGAACTAGTGAGGGTCTCAGTTGGTAGAGTGCATATACAGCATATGGAAAACTCTGGTTTTGATTCCAGTACCACAGAAGATGAGGTGTGGTGGCCCAGGCCTGAAATCCAGGTCATTCTAGGTTACCTGGTGAGTCCAGGCTGAAGGAAACAAATTAGTGTGGCTAGGTAGAGGGGAACAGGTCAGCATAAAGCATGGGGGCTGTTGATGTCAGTAGGGAAACGCTTTTGATCACCACAGGGGAGGCCCAATGGCCTGGTTTTAGTGAGGAAGGACTCAGGGTTAGACTGACATTTTTGGGAATGACTCTGGGAGGGGAACTAGGGAAGCCCTTGCCAGGTGGTCCATGGCCAAGCCCAGTCTAAGGAAGAGGAGGGGAGCTGGGAGAAGCATGCTGTAGCTAGAGGGTGATGATGGAAGTGAAGACCTTGGGTTTGGACGAGTGCTGGATGGAGAAGAGGGAGGGTTCTTCTCCACTTGCCTCCATTTCAACATGATTAGGTACAATGGTCAGCTTTTTACCAACTTGACACAAACCTGCCCATATTTGCTGAAGAGTAACCTCAGTGGAGAAAATGCCTTCACCCGACTGCCTGGAGGTAAGCCTGTGAGGGCCTTTTCTTAATTAGTGAAGGCTATGGAAAGGTCCTGGTCTTTGGGCATGGTGCCAGCCCTGACCAGGTAGTCCTCAGTTGTCTAAAAAAGCAGGCGGAGAAAGCCGGTAAGCAGTATTCCCCCGTGGCCTCTCCCTCAGTTCCTGCACCGACATCCATCGATGGGTTGTACTCAGTGATGTGTGAGTCCAGTAGACTCTTTCTCTCCCATACTGCCTTTGGTCACGGAATCTTTCTCATAGCACTAGAAACCCTAAGTAACACAATTAGGGAAGGCCCTTGGCTGCAGACCCTGCAGAAGGCCAGGCAGCGCTAGTGTTTGTTTTTGTTTGTTTGTTTGTTTGTTTGTTTTTCGTTTGCACTGTGAATTTCCAGGATGATTTTGTTGCTCTTTACTTCCTTCTAGAAGGAGCCCCATGCTTTTGGAAGAAGTCTTTGCAGGCTGGCTGCATTGTGGTTGTGTGCCAGCTATGAACACGAGTTGTGTGTGTGTGTGTGTGGCAGACTGGAAAGAGGGAAACAGCTAGAGCCTTTCTCTAATATATCAAACCCTCCAAGTTTTCCTCATTTCCCTCTAGACCCTTCGCTGGCCAAAGCAAGCTCCCCCTTTTCAGTTCCAAAGTAGTTACCAAGGCCAGAGCGATTTCTCAACATCCGTGATCTCAGGTAGTTTGGGAATGGATCCCCCTGCCCAAGAACCTTGTCTTCTGACATATCCTTGTCTGGCGTTGGGGACAGAGCTTGGAGCCTTATGTATCTTGTCGCCTTAGGTGGAAGGGTGGAGAGAGCAAGGTATTTATGGTCTGTTGGGATCAAACCTAATGGAATAAGAAGCTGTGTCCATCTGCAAATCCACAGAGCCGAGGGCGGGACTGGGGAGTGGGCGCTGGCTCCACTCCAACCTATCCTGTACTCCTCTCCTTGGATCCGAAAGGGGGTTAGTGGTGAAGAGCTTTCCTCAGTAAATACGGTTTGTGCCTGGGCTAGGTTCAAGCGGATCCAGCTGAATAGACTCAGGAGCCTCAGGAGAGCTGGGGTGCTGCGGGGGGCTGGGAGCGCTCTGCACAGAGGCGGGTGGCAGCAGCGGCGACGAGGGCGCGGCGGTGCAGGTGTGCCCCGGGGAGAGAGCCTGCCGGGGGCTGGGATCGGCAGGGCGTCGCGTTAGCCGGAGCTGCCCAGGCGGACTCTGCGGGGCTGCTGCCCGGCTCGCTGCAGATTTCCCACCCAGGTAGGGGACGGCGATCCTCGCTGTGCGTGGGCAGACCCAGGCTCCCAGGCCTAGCCGGCTGAGACCCGCACTGGGACGGCTGGGTGCGGCTGACGGGAAGAGCCTCGGAGGACCGCAGAGTTGGAAAGCAGCGCACTTGCTGCCGCCCCGGGCTGCGCGCTCCTTCGAACGTGGCCTTCGCCAGGACCCGGAGTGAAAGCGCGTGAACTGTCGGCGGACGCAGTAAATAGTTTCCCAACTTGGGCTACTGACGTTTACAGCTGCTTGCTACCCGCTTCCTGGGCATCCCTTTAGTTTCAACCTTACTCCCCGCAGAAACGGTTTGTTCCCAAAGAACAGATTAAACACATGCCCACACCTGCTGGCTCTGGACCGGGGTTTGGGAGTGTGTGCTTCTCTGCGTGGAGGGCGCCCTCCGCGGGCGTGGGAGCCGTTTCTTAGGGACTCGGGATTTGTTTATGGATGGGTTTTAGCGCAAGGAGAAGAACACGATCTGCTTTGCAGGGACGGGTGAGCAAATGCGGTTAGCTAGGGAGGAGCTAGGCGCTGCTGTTTCTTCAGCAGACGGGTGGGTGGTAGACCTGTCATCTGTCGGGGTGCAGCAGAGCGGCCGCCAGAACGCTTTTCTCTTCTATCCAGAAATCGCAGATGCAAACAGGCTACGCTGAAAGGTAACTTAACGTCGCTATGTTGGGGAAGGTAGGGCGGGGCGCTGGGGGAATGCTCGCCCTCGCCGGTTCCTAAGCCTGTTTGGAAGGTGAATGTGGGTGGCTCTGGGCCTCGCGGAGGGGCAGGTGAGGCGTGAGAGGTGTGGGGACGGTGGGGAACTAGACATCGCAGCCAGCTCCGCGGCGGTCTCTTCTGAGCTTTCGCCGCCTGCCCTGTGCGGAAGGGGCGACTTTCTCTGCTCGCTAGAGGATGCGGTGAGGCACACGCTGAGTCAGCAAATACCTACCAGTCAATATGTGTCAGAGGTGGGACTGATCCTTAGGCGTGAAAAGGGGATGGAAACAAAATCCTAACATCGCACACGCTCACACCTGGTGGGGGACAAACACCTGTAGTCAGGAGGTGTGACCAATTCGGAGATGGTGGTGCGAAAATCAGTGGGTGGTTGAGGAGAGAAGAAAAGAATTCTTTTAAAACAAAGTCCCCCCCCCCCCCCATGCTGCTTAGCAGAGATTGGGTTTGTTCCTTGGTCCATTGGTCTTGAATGACCTGTAATCCTCCCCCACCCCATCTCCATCACTGCTGATGGGAAGGCAGAGCTGATGTTTGCAGAGCAAGACTAGTGCCAACGAGGCACTCTTGAAGGTGGCACTGAGGGCGAAGCCCACCAATGAAGGTCGGGCTCCCGACTTTTATTCTTTTAGTAAGTATTTTCCCTAACTTCCAGGACTCTAGCGTTTCATAAAGGCGAGGACTCTGGAAAATTCTAAGGGAGTTTCACAGCAGATCAACTTCTGCTTTCCTCTTTTTTTTTTTTTTTTCTTCCTCCCCTGGTTGTTCATGTCCCAGTATGGACAACTCTGACCCAGTTTGTCCCCCAAAGGAACAAAGGAACGCTAACGTTGTTGCCACAGGTGTACTCTGGGATTGGAACATAAATGTTCCTAAGGGTTGATTCTTCTGGGACAAAAAGTGAACAATGACAGAAAGAAGTGCTCGAGGGTTATTCCTGTTGCCGGAGGTGTGGCTTACATGCATTTTGTAACTGAAACCACCAGGAGATGTTTGAACAACAGGCTGACACACTGTGGGTAGTGTGGCCTTGGCTACTCAGAGAGAGCTGGTGTTGGCCTTAGCATCTTGGCCTTTCTTTGAGCTTTGATTTCTTGAGCTGTAGAATGGAAGCAATGGCGCCGGTCATGATAACTGTTAAACGACCATCATATATTAATCGTCTGGCATAAATTCACTGTTTAAGAAATGAAAGTTTGTTCATTGAGATGCTACCACATGCTAGGCATTTCTCTCTATGTGGGGAATACAAAATTGAGAAAAGTATGTGTGTGTGTGTGAGAGAGAGAGAGAGAGAGAGAGAAATAGAGTGAGATAGAATAGGTAAATATATACCATATTAGCCCAGGAGCTACTGTTATGAAGAAAAATAAAGTAAAATAAGAAGCATGAGTATTGCTCCAAGGGTTTGGAGTAGGTTTAGCATCTATCTATCTATCTATCTATCTATCTATCTATCTATCTATCTATCATCTTAGTTATTACCATAACTAAGATCACATATCTATTTGCCTCTCTATTATCATTATCTATTTACCTATCTATGTCTATCATCTATCAATTATCTGTCTATCATCCATCTATCTGTATCTATCATCTACCTATCAATCAACTGTCTATCTATCCTCTTACCTATCTATCTCTACCTTTCTATGTGGTCATGGATATCTTTGATTAGAAGAGCATTCAACCAACTCTGGGGAAAGTGAAGGATGAAGCAGGCAGTGTGAGCAGAGTAAAGGAACCCACAAAAGCCCGAGACAAGAGACAAACATGTTCACCAGAGAACAAGAGAGAGGTCCAGGAAGCTGAGTTGCATGAATGAGGGGGTGGTGGGAACCGACTGAAGATAACATGACAAAGTCATTGTTGTCTTGTTTATATATTTGTCACTGAGATACAACACTGATTTTTTTTTTTGTTGTTGTTGTTGTTTAAGGGCTTGGCTGAGTTCCTAAACAACATGTTTAGAAAAGAAGATTATTTGGTAGGAAGTGGTAGCTGGGCCGTTCAAAACATGACCTAACGCAGCAAGCAGGAGGGATACATCTCTGCAAGGCAAGCAGGGACTGGGGAGATGGTTTGATGGCTCCGAGTCCTGTCACCTAGATGGAGGGCTGTGTTTGCATTTGCTTCTCTTCCAAATGAACCAGAGTCACCTTTAGTGGGCAGTCCAGCAGGTGTTGTTCTTGCTAGCCTATGTTCTTTTTTCTTTGGCAAGAATTTCTGTGATCAAATTAGATCAGGATCATCTGGAAATATACTGACCTTCAGTGCACCGTGGAGTGCATTTACATATGGCTGGATGGTGAATTTGTTTGGGGCTTCCATCCAGAAGTTTAATATAAAGATTACAGCTTGCTGCTCTGCCCTTTGGAGAAAGCAGTGTTTGGGGATCTGAGGGCTCCAGCAGCTCTCTGTGGTACAGTAAGCCTACTGCAGTGTTCCATGAGCAAAATGGGGGGGGGGGTTGATGGCTGAGAACCTTGTCAAAGCATCTGTGAAATAGGATGTGGGGAGGCTGGGTCAAGGTCAGGGTGACTGGCTGGCCATCATCCAATTCGTCTCAGGAGAGAACATTTACTTCTGTGCATTTTCCCAATCCAAGGTCTGGCTCTTAGTCATACTCTTTGGTCTCAGAAACCTGATCTGTCTCTCTGGGCTATGTCAGAGTGGCATTGTTCATCTGCATGCCACAGTATTGATCCTCAGTGGCTGAGACACTGTGTTTGGTAGCTAGTGTATATAAGCCCAGCAGAGCCCCCATTATGACATTCAAGCCATAAGGAGCAAAGCTGCTTAGTTAACCAGCTAAAGGACAGGTCACACACGTTAGGGCTTGTCTAATGAGACTACAGAATAAACCACCCTCAAACACAGTGACCTTGAACAACCATCTTTTATTATTTTCTCCCATGTGTATGGAGTGGCTGAGAGACCTTCAGAGCTGAGCTGTGTTTGGCTGATCTCTGCTGTTCCTGCTCATGTGACTTGGGGATGGGGAGTCTGAAAAAAAATGGCTGCTTTGGGATGACCTGAGCTGGGATGACTTGGCTCTGACCATTACTGTCCCTCATCTTTTCCCAGTATAGCTGGGAAAGGCAGAGAGCCAAGAGAGAGCAGAAGTTTGAGGGCTGAGGATGTAGCTGAGCTGGTAGAGTGTTTTTGCCTAACCTGCACAGAGTCACGGATTTTTATCTCTATTGCCATATAAACCGGGCATGGCGATAAATGTCTGAGATGTCAGCAGTTGAGAATAGAGGCAGGATATTAGAAGAACAAACTCACCCTTCACTACATAGTAAATTTAAGGCCAGCTCAACTATATGGGCTATTGCCTGGAAAAATAGAAGAGAAAAAGAAGGAGGAGGAGGAGGAGAAGAAAAGAAAGAAAGAAAAAAAGAGAGGGTGGTTTCTCCAAGTATAAGCTTACAACTGACATACCATCTTTGATCCTGTTTATTAACAAAAGCAATATGACAAGGAAGCCAGCGTGAAGAAGGTGTAAAGAAATAGATTCCACTTCTTTAGTTGATCTTAGCCCCAAATGCCAAGAAGCAATTAAATTCAGTATTACAAAGAGTAGGGTGTGGGGAGGGGAAGAATTTGAAATGCCTGGATCTTAATATGTAAAGTTCTCTTGTGCATGGAGGGAAGAAGAGTTCAAGAGCCCCTTGCCCGTAGCTGAGGAGCTGTTGACTGTGGATAGGGAGAATCAATTTTTTTTAAGGGTGTGGTACCTGTAGGTCATCTGTGCTCTAGTGGATGGCCCTACATTGGAAATGACATAGGCATTGGACATAAAATTGAACTTGATAGCTAGATAAAGACACAAACACACACACACACAGACACACACACACACACACACACACACACTCCCACAATGAAAAAGGGAGAAAGAGAGAGAGAGAGAGAGAGAGAGAGAGAACATGAAGTTGGGATGGGTTGGGTATAGGTATTGGGACTGACAGGGAGGAGTAAATGTGATCAAAATACATTGTATCCATGGACGTAAATCTCAAAAATACTTTAAAAACTAAGTTCCTGTGGCTAAATTTCCTCTCTCCATGGACCCAGCTTGGATGGATAATGCTTGTGGCTTTCCAATAGGAGTGTTTTTTTTCTTTATTAAATATTTATTGAGTGTTCTTTAATGCCAGCCATGTCATAGGCAGGACATGCAGCAGTTAAGCATAGTGCAAGCTCTACCCCATGAAACATTCATTCTAGTTGGGGAGGCAAATCTATAAATACTGGTGCATATGTTTTAGGCAATTAAAGAAACAAACAGGTAAAGGAGGAGAGAGATATTTGAATGGGGTTGGGAAGGTACTGCAAGTAAGGGCTGGGAATAAGGTAATTCATTGGACAGGTGTGAGGGAAATGAAAGAGTGAGCCACTAAAGACCTTTCAAACAGAGTAAACAAATGCAATGGTCCTGAGGCAACAAGGACATTTGTTGGCACATTTCAGGAAGGGGAAGTAGGCCTCTGTAGAAAAAAACCAGAGGAGAGATAGTGAGCAGAATAGGTAACTCAATCAGGAGAGTATCATGAAGCCAGAGAATCCAGGGCTTCCAGTGGACTTGGACTTGGACTTGGACTTTGGGTGAGATAGGAATTCTGAGGAATTCTGAGCACAGTCTGCCTTTATGTGATTTATGGTTCAGAGGGATTGCTTGAGCTGTAGAGCTTAGACTGAGGAAGTCGGTCAGGTTCTACCTCCACCATCTAGGTAAGAGATGATAGAGGTCTGGACCAGATGGGAGGTGGCTGTGATGGTGAGAAGCAACCAAAGTCTGCATAGTATTTGGTGGTGGAGAAGACAAGATTTGTAATGACCTAAACGTTGAGCATAAGAAAAGATGATTCATTATTTTGAGGTTGAAGTACAGGATAGATTATCCATTACTGCTATTGAAGATGAA